AGAGCAGGGAGCCCGATGCGGGACTCGATCCCAGGACCCTGGGATCATGACCTGAGCTGAAGGCAGTCGCTTAACCAACTGAGCCACCCAGGCGCCCCAATAGCAGTTATTTCTAATATTATTTTGTCCCCAGACCCTACTGCCCTCTCCTCTGGGATTTTGTGCTCATCCAGGACATCTCAGATAATATGTAGCTCAAGAGGAGTCAGAATGTCAAATTAGGCAAAAATGTTGCTTCACAAATAAAATTCATTAAATTTTCCCTCTTAGAGGATATATAATTTGGCTATGTGTCAGTCTTTCTCAGCTGATATAACTAAAAGGTTCCCAAAATTTGAGTCAAAGACCAACTCCTTCCTTCCCTCCTAGCTGTTCATCCATCCAAAACACTATTTTCAATCATTTTACTCCCACCAAAACCTAGATCTGCTTAGATTTAGCCAAATTACACTCAAGATAACCTACCTTTAATGTTATTCTAATGGAGTGGGCTCTGGCTCCCTCTGGCTAGGGAAGAGTGCTAGCTTAGTGGCTTCTGGATACCACCTCAAGGGAATATCACTCTATTCTCAAGAAATCATTGCAGATGATGTATATAGGACACCTAGTTAAGTGTGCTGTGTTAACTACACTGAGACAAGAGTTCAGAATATCTTCCATACTCGTTCCAGGTGGAGATTTCTCCAGCTTATCCATGATACAAAAAGAACTAGTAAGCGGTTTTCTATTCCAGGCTTTTCTGTTACTTCTAGAACACATCACCTGACAGACTGGCCCCTGCTACCACCCACAGCAGGAATTGCAGTTTCCCAAAGCCCTAAACTGCCTCAGCTTTGGGCATTTCTACTTGACTGCTCGCATCTGGAGATCTACCTCATCACTCCTTGTTTTTTAGGTATTAGACGACATCTCACCATCTTCCTGATGATTGCTGCTCCTAGCACCTACCATTTTATGATTAGGGGTGTGTCTTGTTTATCCTAGTATTTCCACTATTAACACAGTGCTTTCCAAGGAGAAAATATCCAATTAATGTTTGGCGAATAAATGAGTCAGTAAGCAGGGTTTTTTAAAATAAGATTTATTAAGATTATGCCTACTTTCTTCAGTAAGCCAAGCAAATCCAGATATGTATCTTTTAATTTTACAGAACAATAAACTAAAGTGATTAAGGGAATCCAAAAATTAACCACATTTTACATTTTTTCTCCATTTTCTTTCACATTTCCAAGGAAGTTCCTATTCCAGTATCATGTTATCTTGTTCCAGATCACAAAATAAGAGGGAAGGTTCCCCAGTTTGTTTTGTAAAATATCAAAACTAATATTCTTAAATCTGATAAACAGCAATAGGTGTGTGGCAAATTCATTTACATACTTAGATTCTAAAGCTAATAAACATTTTATTAAAAAAACAGCATTTGAAGAATACCAAAAGGAAAAAAAAGATAAACTTCCAAATCATCCATATAGAAGAAGAACACAAAGTTGTATACTGTGTTCTCCCCAGCCTGACCCTGACCCTCCTCTACTCAGAGCCAGGACTGACCTCTTCAAATACAGCATGAATATCTGGGCTCACTCTTCAGTTGGGGCAGGAGAAGCTGCTGACCAATGCTGTGCAATGAACATGGAAGTAGTATTATCCACAGAACCAATTCTGCGCTGGGCTCTCTCTTCCTCATCTCTTAAAGCCTCCTCATACCAGTATGAGAAGGAAATGGGGTCAGTCCCTTTGATCTTAGCCAAAAACTCCAGAACTTTCATCTTACTGGTTTCAGCATGAGCCCTGGGACCCCACAGGAATTCATAGCATGGAGGATCACTGTTAGGCACCTGCCGGTACTCCAGATAATTCTCCTGCACCCAATCTCTGGTGATGAGGTTCCTGGGCTCCCCATAAATGAAATGATCCCTCCCAGCATACACTCCCATCATATTCAGGAAATCCCAGATGTCTTCTTCAGGGGCACAATTGCCCTCTATGAAGATCACACCCAGGATGATTATCAGGAGACCATTTTTAGGCATGCTCTGGTTGTCGCTAAGCATCTCATCACGGGTGAAGTCCAGGGAGTTGACAAGGACATAGGAGTGGGTGGTGGGGTCCACTTCCTTCACATCAATGCCAGAGATCACCTCCAAACACTTAGACGCTTTCTTGAAGATCACAGGGAATTGTTTCTTGTACCTTTTGATGACAAACTTTAGCATTTCTGCCTTTGTGATGGGCTCCTTCAGTCGATACTTGAGGACCATGAAATGTACCAAATCAGCCACCTTCTCATCTAGTGGGTCTCTGGGCAAAGATTCAGTGTCTGTTGAGGTGTAAGGGGAACTTGCATCTTCTTCTTGGCTGCTGGAGACTCCTTCTGATGTGCTCCATGATGCAGAGAAGGAGCAGGAGCTCTGAGGACTCTGGGGAGGACTCAGGGTTGCAGCAGGCTCCTCTTCCTCCTCCTCCTCTAGGGAGACTGGGATCACAGGAGAGGAAGGCGGGGAGGCGGAGGTGGAGGGGTAAGAGAAGTTGAAAGAGCAACTGGAAATAGAGGAAGTCTCCTCCTCGTCCTCAGCTACAAGAACATCTGCCACTTCTAGGCCTTGTATCTCACTTTGGGCTTGAAAGTCTGGCTCAAATGTGAGGCGTAGACGCTTTGGAGAGTGAGGCATGATGACTCTTGTTGGCAGTAGCAAGAAGTATGAGCAAGACAATGGGAGATGGGGTACCACCGGCCTATGGGAGGGAGGAAGAGGGTTAGCAGTCTCAGCAGAGAAACACCCTCGGCAGCTCTGACAAAGGCCAACTTACAGGCTCTTTGGGGGGTGCTCTAGGTTCTCACAGAACTTCTGTCTTCCTGGACAGTTTGTTTCCTAGAAACCTATAGGAGGATATAAGAAAGCGCTTCAGGGTGCAGCCAGCCAGCACAGCTCAAGTCTTCCAGAGCTGACTGGGGGCAGGTGAAGTTGGGCACTCTGGGGTCCCTTCTGTTCTGACATGGGTGGAGTCCTTAGTAGACATTCAAGGTGTGTACCTCACCTTGGCTCCTAGCACTGCCTAGGCCTCCTCTGCTCTGCTGACCTGAGGACATGTGCCTCACACCAAGACCTCACCTCATAGTTCTGGAGCCCTGAACAGGGGAGGAGGGGCCAGGCTCTGGGAGATCCCTACTATCCTGCAGTGGATGATCCCCTCTGTGCTCACTAAGGTTCTCACCTTTCCCCTAACAAGAGGCCTGCCCACTACCCCCACCACCACCACGCCACTGCAGCCAACCCCTCCCCAACATCCCTGCCTCTGCTAGTGTAAGGTAAAATTTTCAGAAAAGGAGCTCACATTCCTGAGACCAATGAGAAGGAAGTGAAAGAGCAACACATTTGACCATACAAGCCCAGGGCTTCCCTGGATGACAGCAAGGGTGGCCAAAGTCTGTGAGAATCCCTCTCTCCTAGCTGAGGGTTACCCTCATTCCTCACATTGATGCCTGGTAGAGCCTGGGACTCCTCCCTCTGTTTTCCTAAGTCTGGCCCCTTCAGAACAAGCCTTCACCTCCCTGAGACCACCAAGAAAGGACTGAAGGCACACCATATCTGTTCACTATGCCCCAGGACCTCCCAGAGCTGACAGCAGGGGCAGGGTAGGGCTGTGTATGCCTTCAGTCCTCACTCAGGGTCCCTATCTTAAAACCTGGCAGAGACTGGGACTCCTCCCTCTGCTGTCCTGATGTGTCTCCTCCTCAGAGCAAGACCCGCACCTTCCTGAGAACCCCTGCACAAAAATGAAGAGGCACCACATCTTGCCACCTTTGCTAGATCCTTCCAGTGCTGACAACAAGGGGAGGGCCCCACCTGTTCTGTGGTGGGACTATCCTCAATCCTCCCTTCATGGCATCCATCTTTACTCTTGGCACAGCCCGGGCTACTCCCTGCTGACTGAATATCACCCCTCAGGCCATGACCTCACCTCTCTGGGACACCTCCCTCACCTTGGGAAAGTGAGGGCATACTATATCCAGGCAACCCTGCTTGGGTTGTCCCAGGGCTGAGAAAAGAAGTGAGCCAGTCTTTATGGGGTCTCTTCTTTCTGGGGTGGGAAGTACCTTTGTTCCTCACCAAAGGTCCTTACCTTGACTCCTGGTAGAGCTTGGGACTCCTTCCTCTTCTGACCTGATGTGGCTTCTCAGCTGACCTGCCTTCACATTTAGACTAAAGACCTCAGCTCCAAGTCCCTCAAGACAAAAGTGAAGAGACATCACAGCCAGCCACTACTTCCCAGGGTCTCCCAGGGCTGACAGCAGGGGCTACACCCCATCTGTCCCAGATTGGGGGAGGGGTTCCCTCTGTCTTCCCTCAAGGTATTCTTTACTTGTGGCAGGGCCTGGGCCCACTTCCTCTGGTGACCTGAAATCACCCTCTCAGACCAAGGTCTCACTTCTCAGAGATACCTCCACCTACCCCATGCAGGAAGTGAGGATGTACCACATCTGGGCATTCCTACCCAGATCCTCCCAGGGTGGACAGTGGGGACAGGGTGAAGTTTCTGTGAGGCTCCGTCCGTCTGGGTTGGGGGTGCCCTTAGTCTTCCTTCAAGGTCCTTACCTTGACTTGTCACAGATCCTGGGATTCCTCCCTCTGTTGATGTCACCAGCTCAGACCAAGCCCTTCAACTCCCTGGGATACTCCAAACAAAAGTAAAAAGTCACCAAATCCAGCCACACCTGCTTGTACTCCTGGCAAGGCCTATCCTACCCTCTGCTGACCTGAAGTCTCCCCCTCCAACCAAGACCTCACCTCCGTGAGCCCCTCTATCCCCTTGATTCTTGGTAGAGTCTATAGCAGAAGTGAGAGTTCCTCCCACCCAGCCACCCTGCTCAGATCCTCCCAGGGCTGAGATTCTGTGACGTCCTTCTTTTCAGGGAGGGCGGGTGGTTTCAGGCTTCACCAAGGGTCCTTACCTTGATTCCTGACAGAGCCCGGGACTCCTCCTTCTTCTGAACTGATGTGTCACCTCCTCAGACCAAGGTCCTCACCTCTCTAAGACTCTCCCCCAGACAAAAGTAAGGAAATGTCACATCTAGCCAACCTTGCCTGTGGACTCCTGGGGTTGACAGGAGGGGCAGGGCATGGCTGGGGCCTCCTCTCTCTTGGGGTATTTTCAAGGTAGACCAAGACCACATCTATCTGGGGTGGAAGGTCCTCTCAATCCTCCCTCATGGTCCTCTCCTTGATGCCTGGCAGGGCCTGGACTGTACCCTCTATTAACCTGAGGTTACAACCCTCAGAAACAGCCTCACCTCCCTCAGACTCCCAAAGTGGAAATCAAGAAGCACTATATTTGGCAACCCTGCTGTGTGGCCTCCCAGGGCCCATTAGGCAGGGGCAAGTTTCTGTAAGACCTCTCTCTATAGGATGAGAGGTCCTCTAAATCCTCCCTCAGAGTCCTCATCTTGACACCTGGCAGAGCACAGTATTCCTCCCTCTGCTGCACTCAGGCTACATCCATTAAACCAAGGTTTTCACTTCTCTGGGACCCTTGACAGCAAGGGTGGAGAAGCACTGGGTCCCATCTGCTCTGATGAAGGGGGTGCCCTGAGTCCTTAAACTGAACCCTGGTGGGGCCTGGGATTCCTCCCTTTATGAAGCTGCCCTTGCCCCTTCAGACCTAGGTCCTCATTCCCTTGAGAACCTCCAAACAAAAGTAAAGAGAAGCCACATCCTGTCACCTCCTAGGGCTCACAGCAGGGACTGAATCCCATCTGTTCTGCAGTGGGAGGATATCTTCTGTCTTCCCTTAAGGTATTCATATTGCCCCCTCAGACAAAGGCCTCGCTGCCATGAGACGAGCCCCACCACTCCCTGGAAGAACTGAGGGCACACCACATCTGACCACCATTGCTGAGTCCTCCCGTGGCTGACAGCAGGGGCAGAGTAGACTCCCTCTGTCTGCAGTAGAAGGTCCCATTATCCATCCTAAAAGTATTCATATTTATTCTCGACAGGGTCTGCATACCCTCCCTTCTGCTGACCTGAGGATGGCCCCTCAACCCATGGCCACCATCTCCTTGAGATGCCAGAAAAGTAAGTCGGGGGATAAAGAATTGCCCCTGTGCTCCACAGCCCTGTTCAAGTCTTCTCAGGGCTGACACAAGGGGCAGGCTCATAAGGGGCCCCCACAGTCTGGACTGGGAGGTCCCTGCACTTTTCCCTCAGGGTCCTCAACTTGATGCCTGACAGGGCCTAGGACTCCTCCCTCTACTGACGTGAGCCTGCACCCCCTCAGGAAAAGCCTCATTCCCTCAGGCTCCAAAGATGAACGTCCAGATACACCACACCTGGATACATCACACCGGGGCCTGCGTGGAGCCTTCCGGGCAAACAACAGGGACAGGCGAGAAGGGTTGCGGCACCCCTCTGCAGTGAGAGCTCCTCTCAGTCCTTTCTCAGAGTCCTCACTTTAATGCCTGCCACGGCCTGGGACTTCTCCCTCTGGCAACCTGAATCTGCTTCGATCAAAAAAAGCCTCACGTCTCTCAAACTCCCAAGATGGGGGTCTGGATACAACACATCCAGGGCCCTGAGAGGGGCCTCCGGGGCTGACAAAAGGGGCGGGGTGGGGGCAGCGCACCCACTCTGTGGTGAGAGGTCTCCTCCCTCGGGTCCTACCTTGTGCGGGCAAGACCTGGGAGGCGTCCCTCCGCTGACCCGAGTGCAGCTCTAACAAGTCTCACGTCCCTCAGACTCCCAAAATGGAAATCGAGACAAAATATTCGGGACCCGTGCCTGTGGTTTCTCAGCACTAACAGCAAGTGCTTGGCGCGGCTTGCCGCCCCCCCGCCACCACACACACCTCCATCTGCAGTGAGCAGAGCCTCCACTCTCCTTCAGGGTCCTCACCCTGTGCCCGGAAATACCTGAGGCTGTCCCTCTGCTGACCTGAGTCGGAAGCACCTCAGACAAAGTGTCATGTCCTCAGACTCCCGAAATGTAAGTCACGACATGCCATATCTGACCACCTCTGTTTGGGGTTTCCCAGAGTTGATGGCTGGGCGAGCCTCAGCCCCCATCTCAGTGGAGGGATGTCTCCACCTCCCCCCTCAGGGTTCTCACCTCGAAGCCTGGCAGAGCCTAGGATTCCTCTTTCTTCTGACCTAAGTCGGTTCCACTCACAGCTAGCCTCAACTCCCTCACACGCCTGACACAAAAGTCCAGACACGCCACATACGGGAACTCTGCCCGGGGTCTCCCCGGGTGACTGCAGGGGTAGGGCGGAGGTAGAGGCCCTCTACATGTAGTGGGTGGTGCCTTCACGCCTTCCCCCAAGGTCTTCACCTCAATGATTGGCTAGACCTACAACTCCTCCCTCTGGTGATCTGAAGCCCCGCCCCTCAGGCCCTCAGATACAGGACAGGAACCCG